ATCATATTTTTTTCCTTTTACCCTATTATTATTTTGTTATTATTGCTGTTTTTATTATTATTATTATTATTACTATGCTATATTTTGTTGCATGTTTTACATCCTACTTTCTATAAAGATACTGGTATTTGATTTTGGAAGTGAGATGTATATATGGACTGGTAAAAGAGCCTCAAATAATAAGAAAAAAGTTGCTACTCGTCTTGCTACAGAATTATGGAAGGAAGGTTATGACTATACCGAATGTGCAATTAGCCCAATAAATGCAGCATCTATGATTGGAAGACGTAATAAATTACTTACAGACATAAAAAGTGAAAAAACAAGACCTTCATGGTGCCTATTTGCTAAATTAACTCAACATGTTGAAACAGTACTTTTCCGTGAAAAGTTTCTTGATTGGCCAAATGTAGCCGGTATCATTAAAATGAAAGTTATTAAAGATAAAGACCAAATCGATGGAACAATAATTGTAGAACCATGTAATTTGGATGTTTTAATAGAACCGAACAATACGCCTGTTGATTTAAATATTAAGGGATGTCATTTAGGAAGAGGAACTGGTTGGTATGATGATGAGGTAGTTATTCGCATGATAATAGTGAATAATAGTTAATAATCAACGATAGATAAATATATTATGATTTATAATAAAAGAAAATAATTAATTAATTAATTCGTTTGAATATCTTTTTGAGCAAAATTCTGATGAAAGGATTTGTTATATTTCAGTTGATGAAGCAATGCACTGTCGAAACCACAAGCATAAATGTATGGCATATTGATGAATTCTCGCATACATTATTGGATAATTTGTCTAATGGACAATTTTATACGGGGGATAGTTACATCATACGTTGGATGTACTCAGTTACTATTACTGGTAAATATTTATTCATTTTACTATATAGTTATGGAAATTATCATGACACATTATGAATATTTCTTTTTTTTCTCCATTATTTAATGTGTATCATACTACTGCATATGTATTTAGGCCGTGAACTTAGTGGATTGCAATCTAAACATTTTGCAAAAGGAAGAGATCGTTCAGTCTACTTCATCTGGCAAGGAAAAAATGCATCTCTGAATGAGCAAGGTGCCGCAGCCTTACTAACGGTAGAACTTGATAACGAACAAGGGCCACAGGTATTGATATTTCCTTAAAACGAACTGACTAAAATTTCTTATATCTTATGTTTCAATGTTTTTATTGGCTGTATTAGATACGTGTAGTTCAAGGCCACGAACCAGCTGCATTTTTAAATTTATTTTCCGGAGGGATGGTAATACACATGGGTAAAAAAGCAGATAAAAAATGCGATCAACGATGGAGATTGTATATTTGTAGAGGCACTCTTGAATCGGAAATATTTTTAACAGAAATACCATGTAGTACTCGTCAGCTAAGAAGTCGAGGCTCGTTTCTTTTACTGGATATAAAATATGCAAAAATCTATGTGTGGCATGGAACTAATGCATTGCCTCATATAAAAAAGGTATTTCTTTTTTAATTCTATCAATCCAACTATTTTTTAATTTGAGATCAAATGTTTATGTTTTGTGGTTACAATATTTTTGGCTTATACATCTTTTTTTATTTTTTTTATTTTAGAATGCATTGTTTGCTGCTAATAAAATTAAAGATAAACGACTGGAAGAATTTGGATTAACATTTGATGAAATTCGTTTAGAAATTCTCGAAATTAATGAGGGTTTAGAACCCGAAGAATTTTTCAACGGTAAGATCACTGTGTATTATCTTATATTTCATAACAATATTAAATATTAATAAAATTCTTGATATTAATTTTTTTACTAAGATTATAAGCAATAATTGTTGTATTTATTTTAGCATTAGGTGGAATGAATAAGACTTTATATATTTCATTTAAAAAAGATCCAATTCAAGATCATACACCGAGATTATTCCACTTTTCCAGTATTACTAAAGAATTCAAAGTAACAGAAATATTGTGTCCGCATCGTGCACATCTACCTACCCCTTTTCCTTTTCTTCAAGATGAACTGTATCAGGTTAATCAGCCAGGTATTGGTGTATTATTATTATTACTATCTGTTTGAAAGTATTATAAATATTATCTGTTTAAAAATGTGTTACGATTTTGCAAAAAAAAAAAAAAAAAAAAAAAAAAAAAAAAAAAAAAAAAAGGGAAACGTACACATATTACTTTCGAACAGCCTTATTTTTACTTGACAATAAAAATGAGGTATGGATATGGCAAGGATGGTGGCCTGATTCAGAAGCTGAAGATCATTCTGGAAGTAAAG